ACAGCAGATAGGTATTTTGCTTGAATTTTTACAAAACTTGGGGTAATGTATGTGCTTTCTGTATACATCAGTATGAGAAATACAGAACAAGTAAACTTTATACTTAATTATTTCCTTGGCAATATTTACGTTTTAATCAAAATTAAACTATAAACTAAATTATGAATAAACTCTGTCAATACACTTCCCAAAGACTAAAGTTTACTTAAAACACAGAATGATAAAAGACATATCCATAGGAACATTAAAGAAGTTCAATGTACAAATCTAAACTGAATCCAAGACACCATTTTTTATGGGAACAAAACAATAATGGACATGGTTCCTAAAAGAAACAGAGTTTATCCCAATACAAAAATATCTTTCACCTTTTGCCAATTAAAGAAATATTTCTTTATAATATTTTATTGTGGCCCTTTGGCATCCAGTTTTTGAAGCCTAAACATTCCCTGTCTCCTGACTACTGTAGGTTTTCCCTAAGGTTACTGGAATTCTTATCACTATAAGGACAGTTTTTGGCCCTTTGTTAATAGGCTGGCAGGATTCTGTGAGTCAAACATGTTTGTGTGTTAAGGTCCTATGGACATCCAAAGTTGGAGAAGTATTAAGGTATATAGCAGTTGGTTAGCAATGTGTGTTAGAAACTAAAGGAACAAGCAGTGCTGAGACGGATAGTTTTTCCCAGCTTGTACTTGCTGGTTGATATCAGAATTGTAGCTCAAGCCAACCAGACTATGAAGAGTAAGAAGAGCAGTTACCTAAAAATAAAGACAATTACATCTTGGGATATATTAGGACTTGTTTATCATAATGGCATTGAAGGCTTTGAGGAAGGAAAAGGGAAACATGGAAGGAAGAACAAGAGCCACATAAGGAAAATCAGAGGATTGTAGGATCCCAGACATCAACCCAGTAGAGTATGTCTGGGAGAGTGATCATCAGCAATGACCCACACAGTAGAGGGGTCCATTGCTACCGGGGACCTCTGAGAACAATTGTGATGGTGTGCTACAGTGAGACGGAGTCTAGAGTCTGCAAATAGGGACAATGTGAAGTGGATACAGATCCTGGCCAAGACCCAACACTTGGCCTTCCTGAAATTATCTTGATGTATCAGCTTATGTTTGAGTCATTTATCTCTTATTATTAAATAAAATTTATTAAAGTAAAATTAAATGTGCTCAAAAAATGTTCAGGAAATATGACTTGAGCAACCCAAGACTGCCTTTTACACAATCAGTGAAGGAACTGAAGACTTACAAAGCCTTCAGAAAATTGTTATCCTTACCATTACTGAGTTGCAAGCACGAATCACACTCAGCTGACATGCAGGGAAGGCGTCCATCTCCTGGTTAGTATACATGTGATTCCTGGCACTCACTGCACCACATATGAATATGTCTACATTGCATTCAGCCTGCAGATTTATCATTCAACCACCAGTTGACTTTCAGGACAAGTACTTAATTTTAAAAATCTTGCAGATTTGAGAATCACTTTTATTAGATTCTTTTTTCTCACGAGCTGCTTAACCAGTTTTGTTTAGCCACACACAGTTTTGCTCTTCCACCATCTGACAATTTGATAGTAACTTCCTGAACCCATTTTTTTTTTTTTTACTCCCTAGTTTGACTTTAGTTTTCAGTTTCCTTATTGGTGTTCCATGCTTTTTTTGAAAACTACTGTCTCATCCTTTTTATCTCTTCTATCAGTTTCTTACTGGCTTTACTTCCTTCCTATGCGATTTAGGACCCATGGTTCATTACTTAAACTGTGTTGTCCTCTTGTCCCTCCTCTCAAAGGCTGGCTGTATCCGGTCTCCCTAGGCATGATGGAGATTCTGTAGAACTTTTCACAGCCATTTACCCCCAATCCTGACCACACAATCTTTGCAGTCCCTAACTTCAACTGAGCATTTATCACAGCCTTATGTGTATCTCCAGAGTGTGGATTTTTGCCACAACAGATGTTTTCAAATACTGACATTTTCTTAATCCACTAATTTAGTACATGTTCAAATTTACATAGTAAAGGCTAATTTTGAATCTTAACACAAAGCAAGCCTTTTAAGGCAGTATATTAAAATCCAGTTTGACTATGGAAATGGTATTGATTTTGAAGACATTTTACAAGTAGAGTTTGTGTACATCATTTTATGAAACATAGTAAATGATGGGATCTCCAAAATGTTTCATTTTCTATGCATAGGTGCACAGAACTTTTCTGCTCTTCAGGCATAGTCAGTGTCTTCTATTTCCCACAGCACTAAAGAAGTGCACGCATTTACTTTGAGAATTTCCTCACATAGTTTCCTTGAAAATGTAATCAAAATTACAATGCATGTTTCATTTAGGAGTTTTTGGTTGCAAGCAATTGACTGTGTTTAACAGAAAAGAAACGTTAAAAAGAAGCTGGGAAGCACTCCACATTTCAATTTAAAAAAGACAAATGATCCAATTTAAAAATTGGGCAAAGGATCTGAGTAGACATTTCTTCAAGGAGACCATACAAATGGCCAGTAAACCCAGAAAAAGAGCATCATTTGCCTTTAGGGAAATGCAAATCCAAACCTAAGGAGATGCCACTCAACACCTACAAGAGTGTGAATGAAGGTCCTCATACAGTGCTCCTGCATTTCTATAGCAAGTTCTTTGATGCTAAAAAGTTTGAGAATAGTTTTGATTTCCATTCTTGTTTTATCATGTTACCTTCTCTTCTGTAACTTTACTCAACAGCCTCAGATTATTTCTCTGACAGGAAAGTCAAGTGAAAGAGCACATAGATTATTTACTGCAAAGCCATCCTGACATGGGGATTCAGATTTTGCCGATGTGGGATTAATCTTTAATGGAATGCTAATATGCCAAACTCTTAAGTAAGTCTAAGGTGACTGAAGAAATGTATCACTGGAGTCAATAATTTCACCTTACTCTAATTTTTAAAACCTTATGAAATAGCGGAAAAAGCAGTTAGCATAATTCCAGTAATTAATGTCAACAGTTCAAATACTTTGGGCTGTCTTCCTGAGCATAATAACATGTTTTAAAACTCACTGTAGATGCGTGAGTCTTGGCTTCTCTCCTTGAGGCTTCATTAACATCAGGACTTTCTTCTTAGTTCTCTTTAACTATTTGAGAATGTTAAGCTTTGACAAATATGCCTTTAAAAAAAAAGTCGCTTTCAGACATTCCTCTTGAATAGAATTCAAGGTTGTCATGCATTCTAATTGACATATGACCTTGGAAATATTACCAAATGCCTCTGTGCCTTAATTTCTTTATTTGAAAAAGAGGCATTTGTTGATTTTTTTTATTAAGCAAATATTTTGTTTTGACAAGATGTTTCAGATTCATTCTGTACTTGAGTTAACCTACCCTGGAATCGGCTACTTTTCTAAGCATATTAATTTACATTTTAAGCAAAGAAAGAATCTTGTATTTTATGCCAACTTTGTTATTGATAGGTAAAACTAAGAAATGTCTTTTAAAATGTTAGAAAAGCTTGAAGATTCATTCATTCTCTCAGTGACTAATTTACTTTGTGTGCTTCCTGTATAAATGACGTTCAGTTGCAGTTCACATTTCTAAAACAATGTCAAAGTAGTTGATAGACAGGTAAATACTATACATGCTTAGAAATGTGTTAGGAACCTGGGAAATGAAATGTAAGAAAATAGCAAGATTTGAATGACTAGAAAGGAGTAGGAAGACCATTGTGTCCCAAGGCACAGCAGGAGCAGGCTGCGGTCTTATACTAGGAATGTCAAATTAGGGAATTTTGAGGCACTCGACTAATTGCTGGAGATACTAAGTTGGTAACTTCATTAATGATTAGCATCCAGTTTATTGGAAACCTAATCCCAGCTATCCTAAAATCATACTTGAGAATCTGAATTGAGATCCAGATTTCTGATGGATCTGAAATGCATGGCTCTTGGCATTTTGGAATGAGAAATTTAAGAGCATTTGGTAGTTTTAATGTTGTTGAAATTCATATCCCTATCTCCTGTTTAAAATGTGACTCTCTTTTTGTGCGTGTGTGTCCATCCTGGGGTTTGAACTCAGGGCCTAGGTGTTGTCCCTGAGCTTTTTTGCTCAAGGCTAGCCCTCTACCACTTGAGCCAAAGTGCCACTTCCAGCTTTTTTTGAGTAGATTATTGGAGATAAGAGTCTCATGGACTTTCCTCGGCTGGCTTTGTACCATGATTCTCAGATCTCAGCCTCCAGAGTAGCTTTAACTTCAAATTTGTGATCAACACATCCTTTACTTTATGCTGGGAAGTAAAGGTAGGCAGTACGTGAATCCAAGTATCTGTGAGACATGAGAATGAATGTTCCTAAAGAGGCATTTTACTATTAATGTGTGTGAGCATGTGTGTGCATGTGGACACACACATGCCAGTACTCAGGCCTGAACTCATTGATACTAGTTGTGGCTCAGATTGCTTGTTCACAGCTGGTACTCTGCCACTTGAACCATATCCCCAGTCCAGCTTTTTGCTGGTTTATTGGAGATGTTTCATGGACTTTCCAAATCAGTCTAGCTTCAATCCTCGTTCCTCCTGATCTTAGACTCCTGATCTTAGCTAGGATTATAGGTATGAGCTACATGCATTTTACTAATTGTTGTATATAAACATACTTTGGTCTTCACCAGACGATCTCTCCTACTTCTTGACTCTAGCAAGAAAACGATCCAGGATTATTATCTCTAGCTACTATCTCTTCAGATTTTCTGAACTGGCTTAAATCCTAAAGTTTACACCTGAGAACTAAACTTCATTCTGCCCATTGGTTTGTTCATTTGTTGATAGCTTACCATGTGGGCTTTACAATTAAAATCTGTGGAAAGAAATTATTACATGAAGTAATCTAACCATATAATGTGCTGGGAAAGTGCTGGGTGACTGTCATAATTTCTGCTGGGATGGTGTGTGAGAAGGAAAATAAAGTCGGTCCTTTTTGTTGCAAAAGAAGATTTCATGTTATCTGTATTTGCAGGCTTTCTGGCTCGTATGCTGGAGGAATCCTTGCTGCGGGGGTGTTTTCATTTTCTCGTCTAACATGGCAGTGGTCCATTGCAGCAGAGGTTTTCAGCTTAAACAATCTGTTTGTGGGGCTGCTTATGGCTCTTACTGTACACTTTGAGGAGGCAGCAACCGCAAAGGAGAGATCAAAGGTAACCTATTTTGATCAAAGTGAAATCACTTTTTGTTTTAATTTTTAGACAGACACTGTGTTTCTTTTGAACTTGCTGTAGACACTGTTTATTCTGATCACTGTCAAGGCAATCCAGGCGAGTTGACAGGCAGAATGTCCCCAGTCTTTTTATTGTGAATGGAAGCCTGATAACCCTCATGAAACATGAGACTTTTCCCTAGGTATAGAAGTGTTTTGGAGAATGAGGGCATTATGAAATGCTCTGGGAGCCCTAAAGGAAAGGTAGGCTGGTTGGTTCATTCACCATCACTTGTTTGTGTGTGTTACCCAGGTAGAACTGCCTTAACTTGCATATCATTATGTTACCTTGACTGACTCTCTAGCTATAAAATAGTATAAATGCCTTTAAAAGAAGAGCATCAAATGTAAAGACAAAGTCGTTCAGAAGAAATTGCAATGAACCTAAGGCAAACAGTGTTATCAAAATCATTTGAAGGGCTGGAAATGTGGCTTAGTAGTAGAGTGCTTGGCTAGCTTGCATGAAACACTGGGTTCGATTCCTTAGTACCACATAAACAGAAAAAGCCAGAAGTGGAGTTGTGGCTCAAGTGGTAGAGGGCTATCTTTGAGAAGAAGAAGCTCAGGGACAGTGCCCAGGCTCTGAGTTCAAGCCCCAGATCTGGAAGATAAAAATAAAAATTACTTAAAGTGGAAAAAACCATCTTATAAGACCTGAGAGTCTTCACACTGGAAAATGTCACACCAATTTAGCATTGGCAACCTTGTGTTATCAAAGACTCTTGATTTGTTTGTGGTTCCCTTAAATCTATCTATGATGCTATTGGAGTTTTTGTTTTGTTTAAAATAACCTTTCTGCTGGATTATGTTCAAGAAAAAATCAGTCTACTACTTAAAGTGTAAGCTGACATTATTTGGCTTCTAATAATAGGGGCACTGCCAAAGGGTTTCGTTGGGGGCGGGGAGGGGGGTGTGAGAAACCAGACTCAACTTCAAACACAAAGAAGAGTAGGAACAGGCTGGATACCAGTAGATGGAAAGTTACTGAGAGAAAACCGTCAGGGGTAAAGGGGTATTTGAGCTAAACAGAATTAACAAAGTTGATTCCAAAGGGAGGCCAGAAGGATCAGACATCACCAGAGAGAGGTAGGGGATAAAGAACCAGGTCAGTTTTCTTGACCAAATGGACATACGATTCTTGATAAGATTGGATATTGCACAGATGAACAGGAAGCTCCAAAATCTGGACCACTTGAGAGAATTCAGAGGAGCCTGATTAGACTTTTGTCATTAAGAGAAACTTTACCAAGTATAAACAAATATCAGTTCAACAAAAGCAAAAACCCCATGGAGAAAATAAAACAATTTCTAAATAAAAGATGTTATATTTAATTTATTTAATATGATAAAGAGAATTTTTCAACTTTAGTTACAGATTTTACTTGATAAGATTACACAAGACTGTCGCTATCAGGAGTTAACTGGTTGATAAAGGACTTTCTAAGAGTTTGAAGATAGTCATTTAAGTTCATGTTGCAATTCTTTGATGAGTGGAAAACGTTAACAAAAAGCAATGGTGATCTGTGCCAGTGCCAGTGTCTCAGGTCTGTAATCCTAGCTACTCAGGAGGCTGAGATCTGAGGATCATGGATTCAAAGCCAGCCCAGATAAGAAAGTCTATAAGATTCATCTCCAGTTAACTACCAAGCTAGAAGTAGAGCTGTGGCTTAGGTGGTAACTTGAGTGAAAAAAGTTAAGGGACAGCACTAAGGTTTTTCAGTTTAATTCCTAGTACCAGCTTGCTCATGCTTGTGTGCGTGCACGCTCACATATACACACACACACACACACACACACACACACACAAATGGTGATAAATACTAATGATTATTAAAGTACAATTACTTGTATCTTACAGGTTTATTTATTTTAACACCATCTATCATACAAGTGTGTGGCTGTTTTATCTTTATGCTTATTTAGAATTTTAGGTGAAGTTTTAATTCAGTTTTTTCTGTGATTTATTTTCAGATAGCAAAAATTGGTGCTTTCTGTTGTGGCCTTAGTTTATGTAACCAACACACAATACTGCTGTATGTTTTGTGTATAATACCTTGGATCCTCTCTCAACTTCTAAAGGAAAAGGTAGGTATTTGATTTTTGTAAAAACTTAAAGTTTATAATATTTCATTTAGTTTCAACTTAACATTTGTGTCATCAGAACACTCGGGGTTTTCATGTGTCATGAGTTTCATGTAAAGTGTAAATAGTCCGTGGTTCTAACAATATTGACAACAAAAGGAGGATTTACAAAATTATGCAATATTGATTATTGTGACATCTGGTCTATTTCATAATTTTCTTTGTGATTCTGGGCCGAATCTCAATGAAATAGATAAAAAAAGCAACAATATGATATGTCCTGAGACCCAGAGTGGTATACCAGTAATACTTCATTCACTGTGTTGTTTGCTTGGCACCATGTACTTGATCCACATGTTAGAGATTCACTCTCAACAGACAATATTGTTGCCAGTGTGAACTCATGAAAGTCTGGTAAATAACTGTTCTGTTACTTGGAATCTGTTTTCCTAGAATTAAAAAATATTGTTTTCCTATTGTCTCTATAAGTAAAAAATGTTAATTAAAATGACAATTAAAAAGCAAAATAGGCAAATTGACTTTGTAAGGCATTTGGGAGATTTTGGTAGGCAAAAGTCAGAAAGTTGAGTTAGACATGAACTCTTGTAAGCATAAATTCCTTTTATTCTGAGCTTCTTCCTAGAGGGTAGTCAATTTACAAAGATAGTGGGGGAGGGGAGGAAGAGATGGGAGGGAAAGAATGGTAAGGGGAACAAAGGAGAAGGCAACAATGCTTGATAGCAATGTACTCATTTCCTTGCTCATGTAATTATAACCCCTCTGTATGGTATTTTCACAATAAAAAAAACTTATCAATAAAAAAAATAGTAGGGGATCATTTTACTTTTTTATTGTTTATTTGTGAACAAACTTAGCTATATTTATTTGTCATTTTACTGTTTGCTAATTGTACCTAGCTATAATCAGAATTATAGTAGAAAACACATAAAACATAATATAGAAATAAGGAAATAGTGATACCAAAGCTTTGGATACTTGTATTTTTTGTTCTCTTAACATATCTTATTTTTCTTATGGTGACAACAAAGCAAAAAATGGTAATGTGGAGATTTAAACAATTCTTATTCTGTGATTCAAAAATAAATAAAAGAGAAACATTAATTGACAGGGAAGAGTAACTATTTCTTGGAAATGAATTAATGTCAATCATATAAATCCTAGCGAACATTAAGTAGCCTACCACCAGGCTGTTCTTAGTAGAGTTTTTTTTTTTTTTTGTCGGTCATGGGGCTTGAAATCTGGGCCTGGGCACTGTCCCTCAGCTCTTCAGCTCAAGACTAGTGCTCTACCACTTGAGCCACAGCACCACTTATGGTTTTCTGGTGGTTAATTGGAGAAAAGAGTCTTGAAAATGTTCCTGCCCAGGCTGGCTTTGAACCTTGGTCCTCAGATCTCAGCCTCCTGAGTAGCTAGGGTCACAGGCGTGAGCCTCTGGCACCGGGCTTTAGTAGAGATTTTATAGAGTGTACTGAAAATTCTTCATATGATCTTTTATATCATATGCCCTTGATAAGAAATGAAGACAGGGGCTGGGAAGGTGGCTCAGTGGTAGAGTGCTTGCCTTGCATGCCTGAGGCCCTGGGTTCGATTCCTCAGCACCACATAAGCAAAAAGAAAAAAGCCGGAAGTGGCTCTGTGGCTGAAATGGTAGAGCACTAGCCTTGAGCTGAAGAGCTGAGGGACAGCGCCCAGGCCCAGAGTTCAGGCCCCATGACCGGACCAAAAAAAGAAAGAAACGAAGACATATAACTGGAATATGGCAGAGCATGTCTGTAATCTCAACGTATGGGAGGATTGTTGAGTTTGAGACCAGTGAAAAGAGGGGAGGGGGCAGAAAAGAAGGAGGAAGAGCGAGAAGAGGAAATCCTCAGCAAGGATTTTTCTGTTGAATCAGTGGGCAGCACAGCTTGATCTGAGTACACATCAGAGAGGCATATTCTCTAGGAAGGACATAAAAAGAAGTATTCTGTGTTAGTTATTGAAGGAAGCCCCACACACTTTGTATGATATAACTCACAACTGACAATTTAAGAGCCTGGACTAATTTCCCTGTGGGCTTCTGACAAATGGTAGAATTTTGGAAACCATGACTCTTCAATGTATCTCTTTCATTCCTATTATTTAAATAGCAGCGGCTAGAGAATAAGGTTTACCAATGAAGGGCCAGGAGGAGTCCTGAGTCAGTTGTTTCAAACCCATTAGAGAAGCTTAAAAAAAAAGTGTGTATGTGTATGTTCACCTAAGTATACACATATATAGTAATGTAGATATAATCTGTTTCTATGTACATACATAGGCAAGGATATGTATTTATAGTTAAATTTGATATCACCACTAAAACAGTCTGGTTTAGTTTTAATCTGAGGTGACACTCAGACATCTGTTTTAAAACAGCTCCCTAGGGGATCCAGTTGGCAGTTTGCACTAAGAAAGCCCTACCCAGACTAGGAGACCCCTCAAGTGGTCATCATTTCTCACCCAAAAGGATCAACCACATCTTGCCGTTCCAAATTTACCTTTGTACTGGGAAAAAAACATTTACTTTCCTTAAAATCACAAACCACTTTTAAGAATAGCAACGGGGGAGGGGGTGGGGGGCTGGGAAGGTAGCTCAGTGGTAGAGCACTTGCCTTGCATGCCTGAGGCCCTGGGTTCAATTCCTCAGTACCAAATAAGCAAAAAAAAGAAAGAAAGAAAAAAGCCGGAGGTGGCTGTGTGGCTCAAGTGGTAGAACACTAGCCTTGAGCTGAAGAGCTGAGGGACAGCACCCAGGCCCAGAGTACAAGCTCCACAACTGGACCCCCCCCCCAAAAAAAATAAAAGAATAGCAACGGAGGGGCTGGGAAGGTGGCTCAGTGGTAGAGCTCTTGCCTTGCATGCATGAGGCCCTGGGTTTGATTCCTCAGCACCACATAAGCAAAAAAGAAAAAAGCCAGAAGTGGCGCTGTGGCTCAAGTGGTAGAGGGCTAGCCTTGAGCTGAAGAGCTGAGGGACAGCACCCAGGCCCAGAGTTCAGGCCCCATGACCGGACCAAAAAAAAAAAAAGAATAGCAATGGCCTGTTGTTAAATCTGATACTTCCATATTCTTTTCATGCCAAAGTTTTTAAACATCTCATTACTGATCTCAAATGAGATCAGTACTATAATGAAAATACTTTATTTTCAATTAAGAGTGCTTATTTGAAAATGCTATTGTAAATTAATTGCTGCCTCTACTTCTGGGGAATGTAAGACTTGGTTCTTATATTCATTTTCACAGTAAATTTGGTTTCTTTTAAAGGAAAAATTGTAATTTCCAATTATGTGTGTAAGAGATTCCCTTTCCCAGTTATTTAAGCAACTAGTATTTGATTCTGTGTAGTATACTAGAATACACATTCTTTTGGGGCTTAATCTTTATAAGCCTTTGCAATATTGTCCTTTATTTTATAAATGTACATATGAGAGTAACTTGAAGGTAGGGAAGGGATTGGGCAAGATGAGGGAAAATCATGGAAGGGGTAACACTGGCCATAATGCATTGTTCACCTGACTTGTGCGACTGAAATTCCTTTGTGTCACTACTTAATAAAATAAAAACAAAGAAAGAAAAGAAATGTCCAGGAGAAATATATTCCCCCAAATAAGGCATATGAAGATAACACTGTTATATAAAACAAATTTCCTTTAGTATTCCATTGTAGTGTAAGTTCAAGGGGGAAATTCAGTGAGCCTGGAGATTATTTTTTTAAAGCTAGCTTTATTTGCACGAGATATTTTTATGAAATGTCCACAGCCCTTGTAGGAAGATTTATATGGTCATGTATAATTGTAGTAAAGTGTAGAGTTGAAGCCTACTCCTAATGAAATGAATTAGTTTTAGGACAGAATTAGAGTGTTCTCAAAATCAGCCAGAAAACACCTAATCACTTCCAAGTGGGTTATCTCAGCTGTGCAAGGCTGTATGTCATGACATGGTTTTAAATACAAAAGATGCAATAAACATGATACTCACGAGTCTTTATTTGCTTCACTCAGATTTTACCTGCCAGGGAAAGTAGTTCAGGCGAATGCAATTTTCTGGTAATCCACAGTAATCAGAAGGTTTAACATAGTATTCCGTAGTGCCTTAATATAAATTGAGAGATCAGCTCTGAGCAAACACATTTGGTGCTTCCCTGGATGTATTCTTGAAGTTCTAGGATGATGACTAAAATAAACATCGTTCTGCCACACAATGTGCTCTGATGCAGGAACTGTCTCCGAGCTGTTTGCTGACATTGACTCTGTCCTTCTCTGCTGGTTTGCTACCTTACGTGTACCTCCCTATCTCATCCTACATCAATCACGCCCGCTGGACCTGGGGGGACCAGACGACACTGCGAGGATTTCTGACACATTTTCTCAGGGAAGAATATGGAACATTCAGCCTGGTAAACTTACATACAAAGCACTTCTAAGGAGCGAAGAAGCAAAATCCGCAGGGTTCTTTGGGAACCTTGATTGAAGAAGCAGTCAGTGTTTAGATCAGCTTTTCACTTTAGTTATTTGTATAACTTGTCTCTTGAAGGTGGCCCCTGTCATATGTCTCAAAAAATTCAGAATCACTAGCTCCAACGTCATGAATATATACCTTAGATAGACTCTTGAGGATGTCAGGCATTAAAAGGAGTCTACAATCTGTAGTTGAAACTTGTCTGTCTTGTTAGCTTTGGTACTTATGTGGACACTTGACCTAAGAATAAAACTACTTGGATAAACAAAACACAACCTTGAGCTTTTTAAGCCAGTCTTACTGTATAGCTTACATTGGCCTCAGACTCCTGATCTTCCTGCCTAAGCCTCCTGAGTGCTAGAATGATAAATGTGCAACACCCTGCCTGGCTTAGCATTTTCTTTCTTCTTTTTTAAAAAACATTTTCTTTTGATGGGCAGTGTGTTACTATTTAGTTTGTTTATTTATTCATTTATTTATTTTTGTCTTGAGGCTTGAACTCAAAGCCTGGATGCTATCCCTGAGCTCTTTTGCTCATGACTCGCGCTGTACCACTTGAGTGACAGCTCCACTTTCAGACTTTCCTGCCTGGGCTAGCTTTGAACTGCAATCCTCAGATCTCCACCTCTTGACTAGCCAGGGTGACAAGCATGAGCCACCAGCACGTGTTTACCTTTACAATTGAAGATCTATCTGTAAAAACTTTGAAAAACCTTGCTTTCCCTAATATCTTGCTTTCCCTATATCTTAAGAGAAACTAAATGAGATTTAGACTAAATCGCAAAAAAGAAAGGGAAAGGCAGAGATATTTGGTTTTTATGTAGACTGCTGTTGGGTTCCCCCCACCCCACCCCACCCCTGTCTGTACTTTGTGTTTTGGTTAAGGTAAATCTCAGAAGAGTTGATAATATGTAATACTGTTTTTGTAGAATTCTAAACCTTACAGAACGAAGCAGCAGGATACATGCAAGAACAGTAAAGCTATATATTTCTGAAAAGTAGGGGAATAATGAAACCCAAGTTCAAGGTAGTTATCTTTGAGGCATAAAGAAGCAGAGGCTTACAATGGTTTTGTGAGGTTCTTTTTATTTTTTCTTTTTCTTTTTTACCAGTCCTGGGGCTTGGACTCAGGCTCTGTCCTTGAGCCTCTCTGTGCTCAAGGCTAGCACTCTACTACTTGAGCCACAGAACCACTTCTGGCTTTTTCTGAGTAATTTATTGGAGATGAGCCTCCAGGACTTTCCTGCCTGGGCTGGCTTTGAACTGTAATCCTCAGATCTCAGCCTCCTGAGTAGCTAGGATTATAGGCATGAGCCTATGAAGGTTGTTTAAGTGAATGGTGAGTTACAGATTAACAAAACACAAAA